AAAAAAAAAATTTTAAAGGATGCTAGAAAAACAATGCAATTCCTCCCATCAAACAATGAAAAGGACATTTTCATTTTACAGCACTTTATTACAGATTGTTAATATTCACCACACTTCAGAGCACCTTATACTTCTATTAGATTTTTGGTAAATGGTTTTAAAGTTCTACTTGAGTATTTTTCTGCTACTGGCTTCCAGGTAAGAATATTATTCAGTGACTGTTTAAGAGATGTTAATTTGATTAAACAGTTTATCCTTAATGACCTGAGACATCAATCCATGGATAGCTTCTATGGTAGTTTTACAGCTAGAAAGAAAAAAAATACAACATTACGTATTACCACACACTGAAAACTGTTTTAAGCATGCACATTCCACCTTTCCCCTACTGTCCCCATTCTTGCATCTCACCCCAATAATGGATTTTTGATTCTACTCATACTCTCCAAACCACACCAATCTGAAGTTTTCCCTTTTGATTCTTCAGCCTACGTCTTTTGACCATTTCACTACTTTCTAGAATTGTTACAGGAGAATGTCAGTGTTAAAGTTTTATATAAACCCACTACTGATGAGTCGATTCCAACTCAGCGATCCTATAAGGCTGAGTAGAACTGCCCTATAGTGTTTCCAAACCTGCAATCTTTATTTTATAAATGCTTTACTGTGAATTGGCTGACAAGTTTTCAGAGCAGATCATCCGTTTTACATCCAATAAACCATGTCCACTTTGTTTCATCTCATTAATTGCAATCCCCTCAATGGAATATCACTTATCCCATTACTCCCGTTTCTTGGTTCCTTTCCGTCTTTCCCAACCCTTCGGAAATTTGACCTTGGGGAAGTGTTGCTCTTTTCATCTCGAATGTTTGATCAGTCTATTGTGTGTGTACCTTACTAGCGGTGTTGAACCCCCTATATTCCTATCTACTACTTGGCTGAAAATTGAGACATGACATTAAGTTCAATTCTAGACTTGAAGGGTGACCAAGGGCTATATAGTCTTGGGGTTCCAATGAAGGCTATAATGTTCATGGAAGCAGATTGCCACATCATTCCCCTATGGAACAGATGGTGGGTTTGAACTGCCTACCTTTTGGTTAGCAACTGAGCACTCAATCACTGCACCACCAGGGCTCCTTAAAATTTGATATCCTTTGCAACAATAAATTTTGTTGTCAGTAGCTTTGGGAAAAAATTTTCAAAGGGACAGAATTTATACATAATTCATAATGATAGACTTCATTAACACTAAAATCTGTTACTCCTTGTTGTTTAACTAGAATTATTGAAAAAAAATTAAAGAAAGAATCCTATGCTTGCTTTCTTTCAAAGCTAGGTTTGTGACCAAAGGATTTAGATTTTTGCATTGACCAAAAAAAAGGCCCACCAACCCAGAATAGAAAGAGGTTAAGTCTTGCAAAGCTATCCATAAAAAGAATTCTCTGTGCTATCTGACTACCTACTTTTTTCCCGATACACTGGAGGTACTCCAATAGTAACATTTTTACTATCCCAAGGAACTGAGATATAAAAGTAGGTAAAATAACAAATTAGGCACATAAAGATAGATGGGCAAAACCTACTCAGAGCAAGTAGCAAAAAGAGGCCTTGAGGCATGCCAAAGCAGAACCTAATTCTGATTTAGAACACTGGCCCTTCCATGGAGAAGAAAGGAATGAGATCATTCCAGGCCAAGATGAGTTCCATTTCTAGGATACATGTCTCTTCGCCCTTCTCTTTCCAACGGATCAATTCAGTTTGTTTTAAGATGAGTAACAATGTACCAATTTATACAGATGCCAACATTTTTTTTTTCTTTTCTGTTCCCTAATTGTCACATTAAAACCCAAATGTTTGTGAAAGTGAATGCTGTTGAGCTGCACCCAAGAGCTTCTGCATCTAAAGGCCACATAATTTATTAGAGAATTCATCCTGAGTTTATGCGGAACAAATTCTTTGGTAGTGAAATGTGATACTAACGTACTGCATAAATGATAATTTCAGAGGACTAATTTAAGATTGGGGGTCCTGGTGTGGCACTGTAGGATAAGCACTGGATTGCTAACTACAAGACTGGCAGTTCAAACCCACCAGCTGCTCCTTGGAAACCCTATACACGGTCGCTATGAGTCGGAACTGACTTGATGGCACTTAACAACAAAACAACAATTTAAGATAGATAACAATAATTTCTGTTACTAGAGCTTTAAAAGAAGTCCTGGTGTGGCACTGTAGGATAAGCACTGGGCTGCTAATTGCAAGGTCAATGGTTCAAACCCAGCAGTTACTCCTAGGAAACCCTATACAGGGTAGCTATGAGTTAAAACTGACTCGATGGCACTTAACAACAAGGAATTTTAAAAGGAGACCTGGTGTCTCTGGGACCATCAAGGGAGAAGAGTGGAGAATGGAACCCTATCCAGGGAAGCAGTGATGCCAGAGATGGAGGCAGAGACCACGACGTGGAGAGATGGAGTGGCTGGGGACTTTGGACCCAGAGAGGGAGAGGGGCTGTGTGCTGATGATCAGGGGGCAGGCTTGTGGGGTATACCCTGTGGCTGGTGGATGATGCATGCAAGGGACTGTAACCATGGCAAGGAAACGATATACGATGGGATCAATGTGAAGCTAATAATGTTCTCCCATGTAAACTATCATATAACTCAAAATAAAGCATCCTATATGCTTCAAAAAAAAAAGGAGACCTGGTGGCACTGTGGGTAAAGTGTTGGGCTACTAATGGCAAGGTCAGCAGTTTCAATCCACTAGAAGGCTGCAGGAGAGACAAGAAACTGCTTGTTTCCATAAAGATTTCATTTCTGAAACCCTAAGGAGTACTTCTAGACTGTTGCTGTAAGTTGGAATCAACTTGATGTCACCAGATATTTTTTAGGGATTTAAAACTTTATAAAAATTTAAAATCTGGTAAATTTAGATCTTAACTTCTCAGAAGACAATTAAAATAGGTTAGGGCATCGTTTTGCAAAGGATTTGTTTTTTAATCCAAATCCAGTGTGGACTGGCTTTATCTGTTACACTTTCTAGCTGAATCTAGAAAAGGTGAACTAGGAGTGTTTTAAAAGATTACCTATTTCTTTGATTGTCTTACCTAATGTTTCCTAAACTTTTGGAGTCGAAATCTCAACTCTTCAAGTCCCCAAGAAGTTAATAAATAATTAACACCATTCTTACTAAGTTATAACTAAGCTGAACCAGAAGGAATTTGATTCCTACTACTACTTGCAAATTTTGAAATAAAAAGGAAAAGAATTAGGAGCATGGATCTGATAGATAGACTCTCACCTGTCCCGTGTAGCTTTGGCAAGTTTGTCTTCTGACTTTCGGTCATGTGTTTCTAAACCCAGCATGAAACTCCCTCGGCCCAGCTGGGCTTCTGATTGCTCCAACTTTTCAGACAAATCAAAGATTTGACCCGTGGTGTAGTCTGCATTCTGTGGAAAGAGTGACAGTGTGTCAGTATTTATTCATCCACTGTAATACAGGCCTGCCATTAAATTAAAAAAAAAAAAATCCTTTTATTTTTGTATAATTTTCTTAGAACATATCATTTTCAGAGAATTCTACCATGCCATCTAATGGACAGTGAAGTAAAAAGTAAAATTCCACCAGCAAACGCTGCTTTCAAAATCCAAGGTAGTTCTGACTCCTAGCAACACTGTATAGGGTTTCTGAGGAAAGACT